CTACGAACGCACGATCCAAACAACCATCGAGGAGGAAGACGATGCACCATAAACTTGGCAATGTCATCGACGACGACGCTCCACTCGTTGGAGGCCGTCGAGAGCGTCGCCAGCTTGACGTTGTGCGTCGGGAGGCGCGTCGGCGTCTTCTGCTCCGTCGCGATGGCGGTCGTCGTCGGCACGGTCGACGCACGCGCCGTCACGTCCTTGGCGCGCTGCGCATGCTTGGAGAAGATCGGCTTGAGCTTGGCCAAGCACGCTAGCCCGAGCTTTGAGTTGGGCTGGAGCTTCCCCGAGATGCTCTCCGACTCGGGCTCGGTCTTGGCGCGGTGTCCCATGTGAGCGTTTCGGCAACGGTTGAGGACTTGATCTCTGACAGTCCTACGAGGATCGGCTCGCAGCTACCAAGACGGTGCGATGGATGCATTGGCGACGCATTCGATCGCTGCTGGACGCTGGCATGAAGCGAACGGATGCCAAAGTCCAAGTCCAAGTCCGTTGTCGGCGACTTGAACACGGCTCGAGATGCCAAATGCTGGCACCGATGGCGATATCACAGAGTACTTACTGGCAACAGGGGCTCTGGCTCATTACTACTAGTTACACAAGCGACGCAGGTGAAGAAACAAGACGCAGGTGTATTACGGCAACTGTACAACTTAGTGGTTGAGCGTCTGGACAAACTCGTAAAAGGCAAACTCGGGGCAGTTGAGGCCGCACGAGTAGACGAAGCGGCTCGCGAGCTGCGACGCGAAGAGCGCGCGGAGGTACGACTCGGGGAGGCGCTTGAGGAGCTCGTCGTACGAGATCTTGGCCTGGAGCGTCTTGGGGAAGCCGTCCTTGAGGATCACGTCCCGCAGCGCCTTCTGCTCGTACAGCGACGAGTCCTGGATCGTGACGCTGAGGTCCGTGATGCGCTCCGAGAGCAAGTTGGTCAAGATCGCGTACGGCGTCGGCGTGCGCTGGTGCTCGCGCCAGAGGCACTCGAACTCCTTCGTCGCGTTGTTGTCGATGCGCGTCTGGACCTCCGCGACGTACGCCTGGTAAAACGCGGGCTTGGGCTTCCCGGCCGTGACCGCCATGTGCTCGCCAAACTCGGCGTCCGTCATCGAGAGCGCAGCCATGACCTCGAGCGACGACGAAGTGACACCGCCCTTGTTGGCCGACGCGTCCTTGAAGAGGACAACGCCGGCCTTCTCGAGGACGAGGCGCGCGTCCTGCGTGAAGAAGAGGTTGGCGCCCTCCACAATGTACTTGAAGCGAAGCGTCTTGCCGTCGGCCTGGTACATGAAGTTGGTCACGTTGCTGAGGTTCACGGCCGCCGGGCGACCGCCGCACGGCACGAAAAAGTCGGCCGTGACGTCCGAACGGTTGTGGAAGTTGTTGCGGAACTGCGTGCCGTTCTCGACGACCTCGCCCGACGGGAGCTTGACGTCGTTCTGCGAGATGAGGACGAGGTACCCGTCCTTGGAGAGGAGCGACTTGTTGAAGCCCTCGACCGGCGACCGGGCCTTGGCGAGGCGCACAAGCTCGGCGCGGTTGATGCCGTTCGGGTCGTAGAGCACGCCCGAGCCGTCGACGACCGCGATCGTGTCCTCGCCCTCGCTCATGAGGATTTCGTTCGAGCCGAGATCGCCGTCCGGGCCACCGGTCTGCACCTTGGTGAGGCGCTTCGCACCAGGAGCCTTGAGGTTGAGCTTGGACTGGATGCCCGTGACAAACTGGCGCACCGAGTGCGTCGTCATGCCGTACTCGTCGTGGGGAATACCACCGCGCGACGGCGACTTGCCCGTCGTGATGGCCTTCCAGTACGAGTAGCCGCGCGACTTGGCGTACGACGACGCCCAGTCCATGAGGTGGGCCGTGCCCTCATCGGGGCCGAGGAAGAGGATGTCTTCCTGGGCGCGCACGATGCCGTCGTTCTCCGGGAGCATGATGTCGAGAAGCGCGTCAATGTACTTCTTGAACGCGAGGTCGGCCTTGTCCTGGTGCGCGAGGTTGAGGAGCACGACACCCTTGGAGCCGCCTTCCGGGATGTCCTTGTTCTTGCGCTGCTGCGTCGACGCAAGGCCATACCCCTCGTCAAAGCACGACGAGACGTTGTTCAAG